CCTGCACTAAGCCCTTTCCCTACCTCTCCCCTGACCTCTTGCCAATCACTGACTTCCGTCCTGCAGCCACCCAACTGAGCTTCTTGCCTTGGCATTGGACCCACCTACGCTCAGCAACAGCAAGCCAGGTCCTCACCCAGGCTTCTGACTTTCTGCCCTGCCCACGGCCTCCCTGCCAACCACCCGTGAGCCCCGCCCACTATCTGTCTGCGGTCCACCCTCCTGTCAGGGACTATTTTCTAGTCACCGACCTCCTTCCTGCCCCCGAATCAATGGCCTTTCTTTTCTTCCATGGACCCACCCACCCCTGCAGTAAGCCACACCCCTGCCACAGCCACATTCATTGACCTGTGCCTCAACTCACTACCTTCTCGCAGGCAACCCAACTGACTTTGGATGCCTCCTGCCTCACTCTCAACTAGACTCAGCCCCGCCCACGGGTCAGGAATGGTTGACTCTCCTCTGGGACTTCTGTCCAATCACTGACTTCCTGCCTGCTCCAGAACCAATGGAAAAGCCACACCCCTGCCACAGCCACATTCATTGACCTGTGCCTCAACTCACTACCTTCTCGCAGGCAACCCAACTGACTTTGGATGCCTCCTGCCTCACTCTCAACTAGACTCAGCCCCGCCCACGGGTCAGGAATGGTTGACTCTCCTCTGGGACTTCTGTCCAATCACTGACTTCCTGCCTGCTCCAGAACCAATGGAAGTTCTCTGTCTCTCTTTCCCTTCCCCACGTACAATAAACCACTTCCCCAATCCCACATTAACTTTCCCCTTCAGCCCAATGAAACTCACTTTCTTTGCCCCGCCAAAGCTGGTGCGCCATACCCTCAGCCACGCCCGCTGCCCTGTATGGTTACGCCCCCTCCCAATGGCTAATGTCTGTCCAATCACTGACTTCCTTACCCCCGCCCCCAACCAACTGACTTTCTCTGCCTCCAGCGGCTTCCAGAACCTTCGCTAGGTTCCTCCACGTCCAGTCCCGGCCCCTCCCCGTCCCAGCCCCTCTTGCTTCACTGATTCCTCAGCCACCCTGACAGACTTTGTTCCCTTCTGCCTGTTCTCCGGGGGGGCATCTTCCTTACTCCTTCACCGACCCCCTTCCCTCCACCAACGGAAGGTGAGCTTCCTGCCCTCTCCTGCCTCCCCAGCCCAGGCAGCACACTGTGCTCTCTCTGGCAGCGCCTTCCTCCCTGGACCTGCGGCCTTTGCTTCCTTTGCTGTAGAGGCAGTGAGGACTCAGCTTGCCGGCTTACAACCGTCTGCCCAGTCGCCTCCACCTTGAGACGCAGCTGTCCTGTCTGTGCTGAGGAAACGACACCACTGCCCCCGTGCCCACCATCTCTGCAGCCACCGCACTGTCACCATGTCCAACCCTCCTGCCCCCAGTGAGCAACCCAGCCACAGCAGCGGCGCTGGTGCCCCTAGCATGAGACGTGTCATGGTGCCACAGCAAGTGGGTCTCAGGATGGGCAGGGGGGCTCCTCCGGAATGGGCCCAGGCGGGCGGCAGGAGCAGGGCCACCAGAAGCCAGGACCAGACTGGCGCCTGTAGGTGGCCATCGCACAGGTTGCGACCCGAAGAGCAGATGGAGCCCGCTGGGAGTCGCTCGGTGGTGCACTATCTGCAGCGCCGCTCGGTGGGCGCACGGGGCCGCCCCAGTCTCCAGGCCTTCGGGGACCAGTTGCAGAGAAGTGCAGTAACGAGGCTGCCAGAGCTGCTGACCGAACGCCAGCTGGGCCTGGGCAGCTTGGACAAAGTGTTCGCATCACAGTGGCTGAATGACAGGCAGGTGGTGTGTGGCACCAAGTGCAACACGCTTTTCGTGCTGGACGTGCACACGGGCCACATCGCACCCATCTCCTTGATGCAGGACAGGAGGCCCAGATGGGCCTATGCACAGTCTGCTTCTGGCATCCGTGCCATCGAGCTGAATCTCTCCAAGACACTGCTGGCCACTGGAGGTGAAAACCCCAACAGCCTAGCGGTCTACCAGCTGCCCTCCCTAGACCCCATATGCCTGGGCGACCGCCATGGACACAACCACGCCATTACCGCCATCGCATGGATCAGTGACACTGTGGCTGTTAGTGGCTCCTGGGACGGGACCTTGGCTGTATGGAGAGTGGATCATGACATGTCCAGCGCCAGCTTTCCTAGGTACAATGAGCAGGGGCTTCCATTGTATGCCCACATGCGTCCCAGAGACAGACTGGTCATCCCTGGATCCAGTATCCACTATGGCATCACCAAAGTGCAAGCCCTGGCCTTCAGTGACAAGAGGCAGGAACTGGCAGCAGTGTCCCTGGATGGCTACTTCCACCTGTGGAGAGCCCATAACACTCTGTCTAGGCTGCACTCATTTAGCCTTCCCTTTGACCAACAAAATATGTGCCTGACGTACTGCGATGAGTTTTCCTTGTATGCAGTGGGCTCACAGTCTCATGTCTGTTTATTGGATCTGCGCCAAGGTCACCTGAATGCTGAGGTGAGACCCGTGTGTAACATAGAGGGTGGCATTGGTGTGCGCTCAATGACCTCGTACCAGCATACTATTACCATGGGCATGGGCCATGGCTGCCTGTTCTTCTTTGACATCCGTGCTCAGAAGTTCCAGGAGGAGAGGTCTGTCACCAGCCCGGACTCCTTTCCTGAGCCCTCAGGCAGGAAGCTCAGACTCACCTGTGGCAAAGGCTGGCTCAACCCTGATGATGCCTGGATGAACAACTTCCATGGCATTGAGGCGCTCCCATATGCGGTCTACACCCACTGCTACAACTGGCCTCAGATGAAGCTCTTCGTAGCTGGAGGACCTCTCGCTTCCGAGTTGCGTGGGCACTATGCAGGCATCTGGAGCTAAGGACCGCTGCCTCCTTCTCAAAGTACACACATTTGTTTTGTTTTTCACTTCTGTGTAACTTTCCTTCTTTAGGTGACGTTCGCAGTTTTCACTCTGTGTCTTTTGTCTTCCAGGTCGAACAGACTCAGGTTTACAAGTGTGCTTTTAAGAGGAGAGATTGAGATGCTTGCTCAATCAAAAGTTGAGTTTAAATATTTTATTTTTGTCCCTAACACAATCTTTATTGTATAAATAATTTAGGTATTTAAAAATTTTTTCATTTATTTTATTGGTACAAGTTAGGTATACAATACCTGTACATTCATCATTGGGAACTTGTACCTTTATATAATCTATCTTTGTTTGTGACTTTTCAACATTTCTCTGCCCTCTCTTCACCCCCTCCACCCTTCCCTATTTACAAAGACTTTGTTTTCATTTTTTCCTTTTCTCATAGTTTTTTCTTTTGCCGTCTTTCCTTTCCCCTACACCTCCTACTTTACCTACCCTTCCCACTTTCCCTACCACATATAGACCCTTTCTTTCCATTTCACATTATAAATTGTAAATTTTGATCCTTATTTACACTTTTAGTTTCTCACACCAGGGAATCTATTTGTTATTTACACATGTGTGTTCTATGTATTTAACTTAAGTGTATGGCCTCAATATACATGCATTTAGTTATAAATATCTCCAGTTTCTCTTTCTTTATGGCCGAGTAGTACTATATTTTATAAAAAGCCATGTCCTATTTTTTTAGTTTTATTTATTCATTAGTACATGTTTGCAGTGCATAATGTTTTCATTCCTCATGAGGAGCTGGTACAGGTAACTCACATAATTAGTTCTACAGATAGATTAGGTTCATCCTTAGTGACGTTCTGTCTTGATTGATTCACGTATTTTGTGTGAAGAGATTGTTATTGTCATATAATTATATTCATCTTTTTTCCTCCTGCAGTTAATGCAGTACATATCATTAAATAATAAAAACAATTAATTATTTTTTATTAATATGTTGTGGCAAAAGGCAGGAACTGGGACCAGTGTCCCTGGACGGCTACTTCCACCTGTGGAGAGCCGATAGCACCCTGTCCAGGCTGCACTGTTGTAGCCTGCCCTTTGACAATCAAAATATGTGCCTGACCTACTGCGATGTCTTTTCCTTGTATGCGGTGGGCTCACAGTCTCCTTTCTGTTTATTGGATATGTGCCATGGTCACCTAAATGCTGGGGTCCGACCTGTGTGTAACATAGATGGTGGCATTGGTGTGTACTCGATAAGCTCCTACTAGCATATTATTACCATGGGCATGGGCCACACTGCCTGTTCTTCTTTGACATCCGTGCTCAGAAGTTCTTGGTGGAGAGGTCTGTCACCAGCCCGGACTCCTTTCCTGAGCCCTCAGGTAGGAAGCTCAGACTCACCTGTGGCAAAGGCTGGCTCCACCCAGATGACCTCTGGATATATGATTTCTGTGGCATCGAAGAGATCCCTTATTCGGTCTACACGCACTGCTACAACTGGTCCAAGATGAAGCTCTTCGTAGGCGGAGGGCCTCTCAATTCCGAGCTGCGTGGGCTCTATGTGGGCATCTGGAGCTAAGGACCACTGCCTTCTTTTAGGTACACACATTTGTTTTTTCATTTCTGGGTAACTTTCCTTTTCTAGGTGGCGTTTGCAACTTTCATTTTATGTCTTTTATTTTCCAGGTGGAATGGACTCAGCTTTACCTGGGTGCTTCTGAGAGATGGACATATTTGGTCAATTGAAAATTGAATATCAATCTTTAATTCTCCTTCATAACACCATTGGTATCAATTTTCATAGAAGTATTTTAGGGTTTTTTTTTTTTGTTGCCGTTTTTGCTAGTGGCCCTCAAACTCAGGACCTTGTACTTGAAAGGCAGGAGTGGTGCCACTGCCCTAAATCCCTGGCCCAATTTAGGGTTCAAAAAATTTAATTTCCTATTTATTCATTCGTACGTGATTGTAGTACATAATGTTTTCTTTCCTCAGGAGGAGTTGGTATAGGCACCTCACGTAATTGTACAGGTAGTTCAGGTTCATCCTCACTGACGTTCTGTCTTGATTGATTCACAAATTCTGTCTAAAGAGATTCAGTCATTGTTATACAACTATACTCATTTCGTTTTCTTATTACTAAAATAAAATTGCTATTACTTATTTGTTCATTAATATTCTGTGACGTGCAATACATACTATTAGTTTTGTACATATTTTAACAGGGTTTTGACATTGGTTCTTAGCTATAGTTTTACAGAACATATCCAATTCACAATTAAATTCCAGTTCTTCATTACCTACTTTTAAAATATTTCATTTGCACATTGCAATCATAGTGTATATAGTTTGGATGTTCTCCACAGTAATATGTTTTCTTTGTAAGGTTTATTGTCTTGGAAAAAGAATCCTCACAGAATCATGTGTTTGTGTTGCACTGCATGCACAGGTGAACGTCTTTGAGAGCACAAGGGTTTTGCTAAGTTTAATATTCTCATTAATCTGAAAAATCAGTCTCTCTTGCAAACCGATTTCAGTTTTAAGAAATTCATCCTAGAGTAGATGAATGTGCATTTTTGTAATTTCTTGCCCTACGGTGAGCAAGAGCCTTGGATGTATGGGAGTGTCTGTGGTTTGAGGCGCTTGCACAGGACTCGGTGGGGTCATTCACAGCAGGGGTTTCAAGCGTGAAAGTATGGCACACGGGAGGATTACCCACTGATCATACAGAGAGACTGGCTGTTTTGCTGTTGCTGTTTTTAATGTCACAAGGCATATTTGAGCAGATAGAAATTTTCCAATTTTGATGATGAGTAGGTAAAGGAAGCAAAAGGGACCCATTTGGCCCATTCTGAAAAAGAACTGCCGAATATGGGCAGTTCACATTGAGAGCTGGTGAATTTGAAAGATTCTGTCCCCAAAGCAGAGTAAATATGCTCCTAGAAAGAACGACGTAACGCTCTGTGTAGTAATACGTAATTGTCAAGAGCACAGACAGTGTTTTGAAGAAGAGGAGCTGACGGTGGGAATACACGGGTGGGGTGGAAGACAAAGAGCTTTGAGGGTCCTGTAAATGCAAGCAGTGGGCTGCTCCTGCAGCACTTGTGAGAGAATTAGACGTGAGACGGGACGAGCCCGTGCGCAGAGCTGGCCGGGCCGAGCTGACCTTAGCCTGGCAATGTGTCGGCTGTGCTTTTCCTACCTGTTCTGGCGCCCCGCCACCTCGGTGTCCACGCTCTACCTGCCTTTCGGGAGCAAACCCGTGTCAGGCCCACGAGGAAAGAGCGCTGAGAACTGCGTGACAGGTGCTGTTCGGAGACGCTCGTGGGAGGTTTCTGCACGTGGTCGCACTGCAGTAGGAGTTCCTCGTGCGCATGTAGGCGTCTCCACCCCAGTGTCAGGTTCCTGAAAGCAGAGCACGGAACTGGAGCTCCATCTTCTCTCCTTCACCAGTGCCTGCCAAATGGAAGGCCATGACCTGGTCATGTTCGGAACGCAGGATGTTGGCGCTGGACACTTAAAGTTTAATGTCTTTCATAAGTAAATGTTTACTCTTCATCAATGGAGACGCCTGTTGTGTGTTTGTCCTTTTTCCAGAAAACTGTCCTGTGCTGGGGACATAGCTCAGTGGCATTGCACCTGTCTAGCAAGCGCGAGATCCCGAGTTTGATCCGCCGTACTCCAAAACAAAACAAAACAGAACAAAACAAAAGGAGAATTGTACCGATTCATTATGAGACCAGGCACAGTCCTTTGTGCAGTCATAAATTTACTCAGGCCTGTTAGCAAGGAAAAGTAGTCTTCAGGCTTACAAACCTTTACATTTGGAGATTTTTATAGAACATTTCTCCATCATTAGTCAGGAGCTCCTGGCTTTAGAGTATTTTACCCTAAAGTATATACTTGCTAAACTAATTCCTGAAGTGCTCACCCAGTGTGTTTGCTGTCTGTTCTCCTGGGTACCAGGCGAGTTGTAGGATATTTTTGTTTGAGGTTGTGTGGGACTTAGGGAAGACCTTTTCAGAGGAAATGACACTTTCCGTGCGGGATGGGGTTTTTAAGCCTATTTGCAAGGTACGCCAGTGGGGAAATTTCATCTCTGACTTGGTCCTGCCCAGCTTCCCTGACTCAGTCTAAGCTGCCTGGTGACGTAGGGCTGACTTTGGTGCAGTCATATAGCATTGTTCTTTCGGAACTAGCCTAACTCGGGGGTATTGATATTTCGAGGTGCCTGGGTATTTTGCAAGCCCCCAACTTACAAAAAAGTTCCATTGAAGGACAATCGTTTCTAAGTCAGATTTGTCTGTAAGCCACCAAAGGAAGTCTTCCATAGTACACCTTAAAGTTTGAACTCCAGTTCCTTAATCAGGGACATATTGTATTTTTCTGTTCGGGGGAGAACTGATGTTCTTCTTTCGGTGTCTGGCTTATTTCACTTAGCATAACTTCCACTGCAAATCCCGCTTAGTTAAATTAACAAGCTTCCTGGGCCCCAGATCTACTGCAGCTCAATAGCTGTGGCTGAGGCTTGGGAATCTCCCTTTCTCGGAGGAACCCCAAGTGATCCTTATGAGCAGCTGCTGCCTCCTTACTCTACTTGTCTTAAGCTGGCCTGCCCCTGGCTTAATGCTTCAACCCCCGGCAAGTTGTACTTGGCTCTTCTGCCTTGGCAACAGTGGTGCCCTCGGCTGCTGGGAGAGACGCTCGGGAGAATCCCAGAGCCTCACTGTGCTCAGGGGTGACCGTATCACTCCAGAGATCAACAGTAAGGAGAAGAGTCACGATGTGTTATCAGAAGTCCTTCATCCTAGCACTCTGGGGCTGAAAACCTCTGCAAGTTCCCTCTCATTTGTACCAGCTCTTCTGGTCAGGAAGCCCAGTGCCAGTGAAGCCCTCCTGTCCTATGTTCCAGGGCTGGATGTTTGCTGGAATCCCCACAGGATGCCCAGTCCCACCTGTTTCCTTCCTGCTTCCATCTGTGCCAGCAACAGCAGAACCAAGTGAGCAGGGCAGCAGCCACTAGGGGAGGGGACAGAGGGTGCAGAGACCTGCTGTTTTGCTGGGTGCATCTCCCTCTCCAGGCAGCCCTGGGAGGAGCCTCCTGCCCCTCCCATCCCCCCAGTGCTCTACCGCAGTTTCCAGGGCACTCTGGTTGCCTCCTGCACTGGCGTAGCCCTTCTAGAGTGGAATGCC